ACAGAAGCAACTTGTAACCTTGCGCTCAATGGACCGAGATGCACACAGACACACATTCAGTGTATTGCGTTATACAACCAGTATTACATAATGGTACGTCATTATCATAATAATATTCCTGTCTCCATCATGTGCTGTAAGTGTCTGAGTGTCGTATTACTGTGCCGCGATTAACTAAATCGCATCTGCACTGCCAGTTCTGCCTGAGTTTTGTACCCTGGAGAGCTGTTTTACAGTAAGCGCTGCTGTTCTGCAGATGGCTGAGTAATGGGAAGGAGGTGCAGCGGATATTTTCCTTTCGCTTTATTTCAAAGGCTGCTATAGTTGAACTTAATCAAATTAAGGAAACTTTTTTTCAGTCAAACTTGATAACATTTCTCCAAAACAAACTCCATTTTCTTGTGGAAATAATAATTGGCAAAAAGTAGTCTTTACAAAAAGATCCAGTTTTGCGATGCTCCAAATTTTGTCAGCCAGACAAGATGAATAATTAAATAAATAAATCATAGAGAGTTAATTTCATTAACATTGAAAAAATGTGTTACTAAATATGGAGAAGGTAACATGTCAAAATAACTCATATACCAAGTACATATATACATGTTTCAAGAGAGTAATTGGGATGTTCCTGGGGTTAGGGGGGTGCTACCTGGACTTACCACTTCCGGCTCATGAACATAGAGCAGATCCTAATTTCCTGAAATGGGTAATTCAGTTGTTACAATTTTAATCAACGATAATATTTACCATGCTACTAAATGGGCCACTAATTAATTAAAATGGGCTAACAATTCATTTAATTTAACTTGATGGGATGATAAACAAAAACGTAAATATTCGTCTGTATTTCAAACTTTCATTAATGAATATAATTTACATTATAATGTATTTTATCATTTGAACAAACTATTATACTAATTACAAATAAATTTTAAGTACTTTGTTAAAGTATTGAATGATATTTAACAGTAGAGGAAAGATTATAAAAAGACTCTGTTTTAAGAACAGAACAAACAGGGATTGTAAAAAAATAAAAAAAAAAGAATCTCTTGCCTACTGTCTGATTTTTTTTTTTTTGTATATGAATGGGTTAGGGCTAACCCTGAACTCTGAAGTATACCATTTAAACATTGACAAGACCTCATTAGTTATTTCTTGTAGACTTTTATCTAAAAAAATCTGTACTTTTCCATGCACAACAAATTGAATATTCTTTCACTGTTTAAGATGTTTTCCATTCAACCTAGAGTGGCAAACACAAGGGATAAACCTAGGTGTAAAATGAGCTGTCTGAAAATTAAGCCGTGACATGACAGTGATCCTACTGTTACTGATATGCAAAGGTTTATTTGACTGTCACCTAGGCAACAACAACGAAAAAACACTCCACACTCTTAGTAAGGAAACACGTGTTAACCTTCAGTCATTTTAAGTCTAGAAATCTGACTATCTCTCTCTCCATCTCCAGTCTGGTCACTGGCCTGTGGAGGCTAGCACAGTGGCCAGCTGATGCCACACAAGATCTGAGGTGGCAGCAGCAGTGGAAGAAGAGCAGACATGCAGCTCAGCACTGCATCTACAGTGGGTCGCCGGAGGAAAGGAAATCCGGACAGCCAAGGTGAGCTTGACACACATTACAACTGCTGAAGTGGTTTGTGGTTAACCATTATATTTAATAATAGATTCCATTCGCTTCTTTGAATGTTAGCACTCCAAAGGTGACCAACTCTTACTTTTGTGGAAGGCAGGTTGTGTGTTGGCAGACTTGTGAGGGGTTGTGTGAAGCGATCGAGTGTGGCAAACATCCCCAGCTGCCCCAGCAGCAGATGGATAAGAATGGCTTTAGTTAATGTTTGTCTGATTAAAGATTTGCATGATCCAAAGTAAAGCAACACACCCAGCTCAATGGACTTATTCATGTTTGGTGAATGTTTTGATGCGCTGCTTTGTATATGCTTTGAATCTGGTTTGGTTGAAGATGATAGACGCAAGCCTTTCTTGTAGAAACAAAGCAGTACATTGTAATGTTAAAAATAGGTCTTCTGCTGTCAAACCCGAGGTGATCAGATCAGAGCTTAGGAGGTGCTCAGCTCTTTATACAAAAACAAGTGCCTCGAAAATGCCTGAAAATGCCACATTTCACTAGCCTTTAAATAACAAATAGGATTATAATGAAATTATATCCGGATTAGTTTTTTTAAAAATACTTATAAATTGCTAAAACAGCCAATTGAATCTTCACTAATGACAAAAAGCATAGATTTGAATAAAACACTAAACAACGTTTAATAATTTACATAAAAACAATATCTTCTATGATGAGGATGGAGAGAATCTTTGAAACTTTCTAACCAGCAGTTCTTCGTTCTGCTTTTCAACCTAATAGCAGAAACATTTAACTCTTAGAAGTCCAGACTACTTTTGAGTATTTTTTACAACTTTACCATTTACCTTTAAAAATGTTTTGTGATATGTTTCTAGCACCACCCCAGCTTTTTTTTTTTTACATTACACATTAATTCCACAACAAACCTGAAATTGTACAAAAAATAAATACAATTAAGTGTATTAAATTTTAGCATTTTTTAAACCAACATTTTTTATGTTTTGCAAAAGCATTGAGACAAAATAAAAAAATAATAATCTAAAAAAGTGAAGACAAGGTCAAAACAATGTGAAAATTGTATCCAAAAACTATGTGAACCTCTACTCTAAAAAACCGCCACTGTGACCGATGACACACTCAACAATGAGTGTAGAGACTTCTAAGGTTTAATAGTTAGTCGCAAATTTCAGTGTTTTTCAGGATTATTCACTGTTTTTTGTGGCCTAGGCACTTCTACATGCACTTATGTATTTTGCAACAAATATTAACTCTGGCCACTGGCATTGCATTCTGCTTAGTTTATATATATATATATATATATATATATATATATATATATATATATATATATATATATATATATATATATATATATATATATATATAAACTAATGTTATAAATATTAAATAACTTTTTAGGGGTGCTCAAGCTGATCTTTAGGGGTTCTTAGCACCCCAAAAAGGGCCTACAAAAACCATGTGTCAAACTCCCCAATAGACTAAAAACAATACACTTACAGACACCCAAAACACAATCTATAATTTCATAAAAACGACTGTACTAACCACAACACAACTGCATTAACAACATTTACAGTGACAAAAAGAAGTATTTCATCTCCTACTGATTTTGAACATTTTCCAACACACAAAGAAATGAGCCATCCATAAATGAAATTGTAGGTTTAAAAATAGGAGATAAAAATATATTCAAATAGTCAATGGATCTGTACTCATGTGATTTATTGGCATACGCCTCTGCAATCTGAAATGTCAGACGTTTCTGCCACCTAATCTGGTCAAAGCTGGCTTGAGCAGGTCATGGACCAGGTTATGTTGGATTTTCCAGTATGGTTAGATTAATTCTTAGAGGTTAAAGAAGTTTTCTACAAGATTTCCAAATATGTTTGTTTTCCCATGTCTGTTTTATTCATTTTGAGAACATTTAATAAGCTGCTATTAAATTTAAAGTGAGCCCCGATAGAATACACGCCATATTTCACAAGTTACCCTGCTCAGCCAGTCTAAATAAATAGTAGACCCTGGCTTGCTGTCCTTGAAGGAGAGTTATTGTAGTGTAAATGATTGACTTCTCCCAAACAGGCACATGGAACTAATTTTATAGATTAGGAGACCTTCATACTGCCATTCAGTGGATTCTTTGTGGGTTTTAGTTTGCTCTGAACACACTGTGAACATAACAGCGGAGGAACATTGTGTTTCACTAACAGCATTTATTTAATGCCTGTCCACATGTCCTCACACATTTATCCGCCGCCCGATAGAATAAGAGTGGGCAGAAGAAAGGAAGATACTGTATACTGACAATTGATGGACCACAACAGCAATTCTGGAATCATTCACATCTGCAGAGTTTAGGGGGAATGATTAATCATTGAGATTACACAGCACTGTGCAAGTGTGTACGAGACAGAGTGTGTGTGTTTGTAATGAGGGTGTGTCTCTGATTACAGTGGGATCGTAGAGTTGAGCCTGGTCAGGATCTGATATCTGTGCGTTGTAACTGCATCTGTCTGCACACAATCCGCCAAATGTTTGCATATACACATAATGAGAAAGAGAGAAAACTGGGAGCTTGGTGCTTAAAATGAGTACGTGATTTACTTGTAAAAAGATTTGTGGTGTTCATGTATTCACTCACCAACATAAATAATTTCAATCAAGTACACTTCCATGGCCAGAGATGCGTAAAATCAAGCATCTAAGCATACAGACAGATTTGTGGGAGAAGAGGCAGCTCTACGGGATTGAGATTTGCACTTCTGGGTAGAGAAATTATTGGTGCCATGACGCTCCCTGCCTGAAGATAGCGTTTGTGGTACAACAGATGCATTTTACGCCATATAGGTGAACAGGAAAGAAGAATACAATGACAGAAGAAATCAAAGAACACATTATACTGTTTATACTGTTGGTTGCTGATCACAGGGAGCTGTTTGACAGAAAGGTAGAGAAAGAGAAGATTTGTGGAGCACCATTTCTTTCTTGTTTCCTGTACGAAGTCGCTATAGAAAAGTGGGATGAGTGCCACTGAGCGCCTCTTTTACATCCTACTCATGTCAACTTGCCAGCTTTCATTGGTCCGTCTCCTTACAAAAATCAACCTGAATGGAACCGCAGTTTTTGTTGGCACCACTCGCGCGGTCCAATGTGTGAGCTCCCATTGGCCCATGGTTTTTGATCGAGGCACATTGTCGCACAAAACTTCAGATTGGAAAATTGGATCATTGTGTCGAGGTCATGTATGTATGTTTCGTATGTTGTTGATGAAGGGTGTTTATGGTGTGGTGTTGTTTTTCAGGATGTTGACTCAACCTTTTGGTTCCAGTAAAAGGTTTTCTTTTACACTTAAAATTTCTTCTGTCAGTTCTTGCTTTCCCTGGGACTTGAACCCACGACTTTTGCGTTGCTAGCGCAATGCCCTACCAGCTGAGCCACAGGACATTTTTTCCGAATTCATTGTGGCTTGGGCAACATCAAAGTAAACTTTATATATTAAGAATGTGATGTCCGTTAAGTTCATACGCATCTGAAGCTGGATGAGCAAATAAAAGTGGACCATTTTAAATAGAAAAATCCAGCAAAAACTTTCATTCATTCATTTTCCAACCCACTTTTTCCCTTTTTGGGGTCACTGGGGTCTGCTGTATCTCCAGCGCACATTGGGCGAAAGGCAGGGGTACACCCTGGACAGGTCCATTGCAGGGCAACATTCACACCTGTGGGGAATTTAGATTAAATAATTTAACATCATGTTTTTGGGATTGTGGGGGACATCGGAGTACCAGGAGAAAACCCACGCAAGCACGGGGAAAACATGCCAACTGCTTCCGGGAAGGTCACAGGTGAGCTTTGAACCAACGACCTTCTAACTGGAAGGCCACAGTGCTACCCACTGTGCTACCGTGCTGCCCAAAACCTTTCATAAAATGTAATTTTCAAAATTATTATATTTGTACTTTATAATTGATGCTATCCATGAACAGCATGAAGTTTAAAAAATATCCAGTCCATGACCTGTTTATAACTGGACCATTCACGAATGAAAGCAGACGATTTCACACTGCGGCCAGAAAGTAAAAAAAACAGCAGTTAGTTGTTAAACACAACTAATGTTATAAGGCCATTTCATAAGTTCACATGAGCGAACTAGCTAAAAATAGTATGGTAGGATCAACAGTAAGGCTTCAGTTCTGTCGCCTCCTTAATTGAATAGTGTTCATGCACTAAATCAACACCTGTCACATCAATCACAGCTGCTTTCAACATGTATGTTTCACATGGTTCACACTCTCCTTTCTTCTTTTAAACAGGTCTGCTCGGTGTGCTGAGTGTGTTTGCTACGTTCCTGCAGTTATGCTCTGGCTGTCCTTCAGAATGCGTCTGTAACTCTCTGGAAGCTAACTGCAGTGGGAGGAGTCTAGTTTCTCTACCTTTCCTCACTTCACTCCCGGAGGGCACACAAACTCTCCTTCTGGCCAATAACCGCCTCTCCACTTTGCCCACCTCTTCCTTTGCCAACCTGAGTACCCTGGAGACACTTGACTTATCCAACAATTATCTGGACAACCTGCCGTCCCGATTATTCAGTGAGCTGAAAAACCTGAGCGATCTAAGTTTGCGCAATAATAGCCTGACAGTTTTGGATCGAGAATTGTTTCGAGGCCTGGTCCAGCTGCAGAGACTGGATCTGTCTCTGAATGGACTGGCAATGGTGCCACTGGGTCTTTTGGATGAGCTACAAGGACTGACTTGGCTCTCTTTAGCTGGGAACAGACTTCATGCCCTTGAAAGAGCCACTTTTGAACCTCTTGTCAAACTTCAGCACCTGGAGTTGGGGATAAATCCCTGGGAGTGTGACTGCAACCTGAGAGAGTTCAAACACTGGATGGAGTGGCTAATATATCGAGGTGAGGTGTTCTTTGCTTTATACAGACAAGTGCTATATACAATTTCAAATGGTCAATGAAATTAATTATTAATTATTAATTAATCCACTCCATACTCATTTTGCTCATGGTCAAAGAAATAGTCTTTTTATAGGTATCTAGCTGAAACTAGGACCTTCTCTGAGAGAATATTACCTGACTATGACAAACTTCCCAGAGAACCAATCAATCAGATTCCTTTCCAACATTGCCAAACCCAAATAAATTAAGGGGTTTACATTGCCATTCTCAATCAGTTTGATTCAAATGTGACAACATTTAGTGAGAATAGGCACAAAAGTTAGGAAGAACCCCAAAAAAATAATAAACAGTCTCCATTGGTCAGGCCTCCATGCAATATCCACCTCATGGGTTTTTAGTGGTTCTTAAAACATCTACAAATCAGTCCAGAATGAAAAGGGAAGAATGAAAATGTCAATGTTGTCAACTCATTCGGGGTCATGGGGGTCTGCCGGTACCTATTTCCAGTGCACATTTGGAGAGGGTACATCCTGGACAGGACAACATTCACTCACACATTCACACCTAAGAGAAATTTAAATTATTCAATTAATCTAACCGCATGTTTTTGGGAAACCAGAGTACCCGGAGGTACCCGGAGGCGAGCCTTGAACCGTCAACTTTCTAACTGGAAGGCCACAATGCTACCCACTGTGCCACCGTGCTGCCCGGGTGATGGACAGAGAGTTTAATTTTGTTTTTACACAAAACTATAATTACATTTAAATCAATTCTCGTGTCTGGGCAAGAACATCAGTGGGTCAAATAATTACTTCCCTCGCTGTAATATGATTAGTCATTGTGCATGTTTTATTGGTATTTAGAAGAGAACTGAATGGGTTCAACCCATTATAATTTAGAAAACAATATTGCTAACAAGAGGTTTAATTGCAAATCTGAACAGATGGATGCCTTATAGAAAACAAATAATGATCAAGACACATTACACCCACGCACTTCCTCGTGTTTCATAGCCTTTTGTCTAACACTGGCAATGGAACGTGGCAAAACCTCATTATCCATACCTCTCGCTTTCAATCCTTCAACTCTGAGTCAGTGATATTCATTTCATTTGATTCCAGAGCAGCTTTGAAAGGAAGGAGGATTTGAAACACACATGAGAAGCTAAGTCACAAAGCTTTTAGTGTCTGTGTGTGAGAAAGAGACTGCAGTCATGGTGGGCTCTGACTTTTGTGCTTCCAAATCCAACCAAACTGCATAGAGATGCAACATTTTAGGCATTTGTATCTTATTTTGGGGTATAATTAAGATGCTTTATTTACATAAAGTGATTATGTAGTCAATAGAAATTGTACTGTGTTGGAACCTAGTGTGAATATTTATAAGGCACTACACAATAAAATTGAATAATCCACATAAAATTTAAACGTGATGTTGGGGCATCTAATGATGACCCCTTATTGTTTCCTATAAAGAATAAGCAATACAAAGGACAAGCAATTCCTACAAAGAACAAGCAATACAGAGTTTTTACTCTCATCATCGACTAATAAAACATAGTTTAAAACTCTAAGCATGGCTGCTTCAGTGCTATGGAATTTCAGTGAAAGGGTTCAATTTATCCACCTTGATATATTAAAAAAAACCTATTGTGAGCGTTATTTTTACGGGGTTTCAGATAAAAATGGTCATTTTAAAATGGGTTCAATTATTAAAACATGGACAACTGCATGCTTAAACCAACCAAGCACCATCCCCCCACATGCTACGAATTTACCAGTGCTTGAATGGAGCTCAGAAAAAGACGGATTTATAAAATCCTGGAGGAATTACATCCAGAGACGAGCTGGATGTTTTCATCTTTTCAGTGTGTGGCGGCTTCCTTGTTTGAGTTTGAGTTTTTGCCCACATATATCACTCTAAATCATTCCCCGATGAGGATCCATGACAGGTAGCTGACATTTGGAGACAGCTTTAGGCAGTAGGCAACATGGCATCTATTAGGGAAGAACGTTTCTGTCAAACTATTAATTATACAGCAGCTACTGCTTTTTCCTCTGGTAAATTCACACAAAAACATGTAAATTGTAGAGGACTATTTTTATTGGACAGTAATTTTGTTTACCTCAGAGTACCAAAATTCTGATTTCTCATTCTCTATTGCTTTTTGCTTTAGGAGGATTTGTTGATGCTGTTGAGTGTACTCTTCCAAAGGACTTAAGGGGCCGTGACATCAGAAGTGTTCCTGTTGAGATGTTCAACTACTGTCTGCAACTGGAAGATGAAAATGGGGGTGGAAGCACAAAGGGAGGATCTCCCCCATGTTTTCGAGGGACAACTACTCCGCCATCTGATGGGGCAGTGGTCCGTGCAGAGGGAGAGCTTCCAGACTGTGTGAAGCAGCGTTATCGGCCGGTTAGTGTTCGAAGGGCCATTGGTACAGTGGTGATCGCTGGGGTGGTCTGTGGAATTGTGTGCATCATGATGGTGGCTGCTGCAGCGTATGGCTGCATTTACGCCTCCCTAATGGCCAAATACCAACGAGAGCTAAAGAAGAGGCAGCCACTTATGGGTGATGCAGATGCTGAAGCTGACGCAGAGGAGAAACAGATTTCATCAGTTGCATAGGAGGATGGGACAGTAGGGTCAGAGTTCGGAGGTTGATCGCAAATATACTGAAACATTAACTGGTTCGAGCTGCACGTCTGATGATCGTTTGCTCCCCAGTGGAAAAGTTATCATCCCAGTTTCCGATTTCTCTTTCCTCCTTGAGACCCTCTCTGACTCTCAGATTTACACTTTACTTGGTAAACTTTGGCCTAATTATCCCAGGAGAAGGGGGGACCACTGAGCACTTTAAAACGTACCCACCTCCCAAGGTTGAGGAGATCTCAGCAAAGGAGGTGTGGAAGCAACTGTTCACATCATGAACTCTGATGTTTTTAGGATCATGTGCTGTCATTAGCATTAGCCTCTGTAGCACTCTAACCTTCCAACAATAACCCTAAACTATAGCTTTATTTTCAACCCCGGCCTGCTTACACTGTTTACAAACCCAAAAGTCATCCAGCTATAAGTCTACATTAGGTCCGCATCACACCAAAAGCCAGTAACACTCATTAATCAATGTGGTCTACTAGGGATGCATTTCAGTGAGTCACAGACCCCAAGCACATAACACATATCTAGGACTGATTGTGTTTTGTTCATGGGAATGCTCTTCCCAAGCCTAAATTTCCAGTTGTTTCCCTTAATGTTCATCCAATGGCGATTTCCACTGAATGTTGTGGAACGATATGGTTCCTACAGTTGTCTTGCTTTTCCATTGGATTAAGTCTTGCTTCACAGTGGGTGTTATCCTAAACTACATCAAATGAATGCACTTAATGCACTTCAAGGTACCAAAAAGTATTGGTAGCAAGGACAAAACACAATGGAAAAGCCCTCAAAAAAGAATTCTATACCATACCTTACCATGCAGAGGAAAGAATCATTAAACCTGCGATATTAAACCCTTACCACAATACTGTCCCA